ACTCTCCGAATATAGGCCTAGCAAGCTTTGCTGTCGTGTTGACACAATAACAAAACAGTAATAACGTCCGAACAACGTTGCGGAACAATACCCAGTGATTACATGGTATGAGTCACAGTGGCCACGGTGCAGGCTGTTGTCTTAACGCAGTGAATATTATTTACTTTGAAATGGAGCCAGTAAATCTGGAACACAGTGTTAGAAGGGGAAGTTACGCACACATACGCACACACACGCCGCTGCTAAATCGTGACCACCACTGAAAGAAAAACCAACTCTGCCACCGCTGCTGAAAAAAATCCAAGGGAAACACTGCACACACTCTGTCAAGGGGGCCTTGGTGACAACTAGTCAGGAATACAGATGAGTTATGAGCTATACATGGAAATATAAGATTCTAACTTTTTCTGGAAAATATGTTATCGATAGACTGCAGCTTTGCTTCAAGTGCTAATGTGTTTACTTGAAAAACTGAAACTGATTCTAGCATAACATTTCAGCACTGTCTCAAACTAGGAGAAACCATGGGTCCATCCATCCATCCACACGCGCACACTGCTTGGAAGGTTCATGGCTCTGGGCAGATAGAGTGGGGGGCAATCCCACGGTAACGGAATTACGCTTTGACTCTGTTTTTTCACTTTCAAATGTATGCCAAACAAAAACCATTGATTTCAAAGTTTAACAAACTATACAACTATGCAAAAATGATTGAGTGGAAGAACTGTGCAGATGCAACCGTAATAAATATCTGCTCCAAAGATGTCTGCAGAAAAAATGGGGTGTCAGCTATGACATGGTACCTTGACTTTGAAAAAAAAATATTTTTGTTATTGAAGTAAGTAAGTGAAGTGGATTTACGCCCGGTAACAGAATTACGGTAACGGAATTACATCATGGGTCCTTGATCTATACTACACCGAAATGCATAATTATGGATATGATGTCATTCTCTGTTTCACAAGTTTGGACAGCACAGCACAGCACAGCAGAGCACAGTTGTCACGATGTCAGTGTATGCGGTAGACTGAAGTCAGGCGCAGGACACAGAACTCAATGAAAAAACGTATCTTTACTAATACACGTAAAGAAACAAGAAGCCTCCACGCAGGGAGGAATAAACCCGCTCACCAACGACATCAGCGAACAAACAACAAACACGCACAGAACACAATGGGAGCCACAGGGTTAAATAGGGGCGGAGTAATCACAAGATGGGCAACAGGTGTGAAACAATCTGACACAACAGGTAGAACATAGAAACATATAACATAGATCGGCAGCAGCTAGTACTCCGGTGACGACGAACGACAAAACCTGCCCGAGCAAGGAGGAGGGGCAGCCTCGGCAGAATCCGTGACAACAGTAGAGCACAGTAGATTATAGTACAATACAGTACAGTAGAGTACATTACTGTATAGTTCAGTACAGTAGAGTACAGTGCAGTACAATACACCACAGCAGAGTAGTGTAGGGTAGAGTTCAATACAGTGCAGTGGAATACAGTACAGTACAGTACAGTAGAGTATAGTTCAGTAGAGTAGAATACAGTACAATATAATGTACTGTACTATACTCTACTTTTCTTTACTGTACTGTACTACTGTATTGTATTGGACTGTACTCTACTGTGCTCTACTCACTGTACTGTACTCTATTGTACTGCACTGTACTGTACTGTGCTATCCAAACTTGTGAAACATACGTCTATGATTCAGATTTGGTCAGTCCGGTCTGTCCGTGGACATTAACATCAAGGCCAGGGTGGCCTGACCAAATTTCATCTACATTTCAACGTCCATGGACGTCCGGTGTCGGTCGGTGCTCAGCGGGTGAGGATACTGGTTAAAGTAAATGGAGGGAGAGGGGGCTCATGGGTAGGTGTTACTAAGAGCTGGGAGAGGTGGCATTAACTGGAGAGTGAGAGATGGAGGCAGAGAGCGGGAGAGAGAGAGCGAGAGAGAGATGCAGGGGTTGTCCAGACTCAGACTGTTTTAACACTCTTGGTTAGACCACCAGACAACAGAAAGACAAAGAAAGTTAACAGCTGAACATAACAGTGTGCCAGTGGAAGGGAGAACAGTAGCAGGTGACCCAACTGTGGTTTGTGACTATTATGATTTCCCATTGTATCCAATTCAGGTGCAGTAATTCCATTATAGATTTTTGGGTAATTTTGGTAACCAAATTGAGTTTAATCACTTAATAATTCATAAACAAAATGTACATCAGTAAAATCACTATAACTAATTGGTATGTCTACCATTACTTGTTACTTCTGTGAACTCGCATTATCCTCCCTCTACATGAAGGAGAGAAATTATCTTAAAGATATGTGGGTTGTTGGTAAAGGTATTACAATGTCACACCCTGAACTGTTTCACCTGTCTTGTGATTGTCCCCAACCCCCACCTCATGGCCTCAAGCAGAGTGCAGCTGCAACGTTTCCTGGGGTTTGCTAATTTCCACCCTTGTTTCATCCGAGGTTACAGCACCCTTGCTTCCCACCTCTCTGCACTCACCTCTCCAAAGGTTCCGTTCATATGGTCTCCAGCAGCTGGCCGTGCTTTCTCAGACCTCAAGCAGCGATTCTCTTCAGCTCCCATCTTAATCCATCCGGACCCGTCCCATCAGTTGGTGGTGGAGGTCGACGCCTCGGACGTCGGAGTGTCACCTGTCATCCTGACTCCCGTCGGACCTTGGCTTTTGGCCGACAACGTTTTTGGTGTCCCACGTAGTTCCTGACGTCTCCGCGTTCTTTGCCGCCTGCACTGTGTGCGCGCAGAAAAAGACTCCGCGGCGAGCTCCGGCTGGCCTCCTTCAACCACTCCCTGTTCCTCACCACCCCTGATCCCAAATATCCCTGGACTTAATCTCGGGTCTCCCTCCGTCAGGCCAGCCTGTCCTCTGGTTTTCATCCCCAGTCGGAGCGAGCCAATCAGGACCTGGAGACGCCTCTTCGTTGCCTTGTCTCCACCAATCCCACCACCTGGAGCCAGCAACTCCTGTGGGTGGAATATGCCCGCAACACCCTTCCCTGTTCTGCTACTGGTCTCTCGTCTTTTGAGCATTCCCTGGGATATCAGCCCCCGTCTCATCGACGGCCATCTGGCGTACACGGTGAGGCGCCTCCTGAGTGTTCAACCTCAAGGCAGGGATTCCAGTACCTGGTTGACTGGGAGGGTTATGGCCCGGAGGAGAGGTTTTGGGTCCCCGCCAGGAATATCCTGGACCCAGCCCTCATCTACCTTCGACACCCCGGTCAACCAGGTATGTCCCAGGGTAGGACGCCAGGTGGTGATCTATTTCACCTGTCTTGTGATTGTCCCCAACCCCCACCAGGTGTCTCCCATTACCTCGTGTATATATACCTGCGTTTTCTGTTTGTCTGTTGCCAGTTCGTCTTCTCCCGTCAAGTCCTACTTTTTCTAGTCTTCCCAGTTCTTATCTTTCTGCCTGTCCTGACCCTGATCCTGCCTGCCTGCCGTCCTATACCTGCCTGACTCTGATTTGGATTATGACTCTTTGCCTGCCTTGACCTACCAATTGTCTGCCCCTTGTACTGTAATAAACTCTGAGACTCGTACTATCCGCCTCCTGTGTCTGCATCTGGGTCTTAGCTTGAGCCATGATACAAGGCACAAGGCAATATTTCTTAAACGTGCAGAAGGTAAACAATATCTCCAAAACTAAATAGACATTTTGATATCAGTTGGCAGGGGTATTTATGTCAACATGTTTGTGTTTTGATGTATTTCGGATACCTTTTAAGACTTTTTCTGGTATATCTTCTAAGACCCCTTTTCCATCTGTTTATCCATAAATAAAAGCCTTTACTTATGTCTGATTTTTAAGATGGAAAATGGTTGAAAAATGAATTTATGCCATAATTTCCCCAAAATATATACTCCTAGCTTTCATTTGACACGCAATTTGATATGCTCTAATGAACTTCACATGTTGGTGCTCGTGGGTCCTTTTCGATGGAAATGCCCTGGGCTCTCACAGGTCTTCAGGTCTTCTACTAATCCTCCCTGAGCTCAGACAGTGGCATAATTTAACACTCACTAGACTGGCAAAGCCCAGAGTAGAACTGTCAGGGCTTTAGAGTGTGTGTAGGGAATCAGTGAGTTACCATGAGTTACCATGTTACCATGTTTCTTTGATTCCAAGAGATAGTTTGGTGCAAATTTCCAAGTATACATTATTACCCCATTTCTCAGTATTCCCCATAGCCATTACCTTACCATTTACCTGCCCTTAAATTGCTGAGAGGGTAAACTGGGTTTAATTCTGCTTATTTTACTTGGTTTTCCATCTCAGCTCCCAAAGAACACTTGGTAGCCTTTGGAACAACAGAAATGATTGCTACTCCTCTCCCATCAACAGAGCCACAGCTAGCTATTAACTTCTACTTAACTACTGTTCCATAGGGAGCTTTTGTCTCCATAGTGTTGATAGTATGTTCAGCATTGTGTGTCTTGAAGACTGGTATTGATGGGATTGAACCTTTGTTGCTTTTCTGTGTTCTCTCTTGACAGACACATACACAATGCTTGTCAAACAGACACACACACTGCATATCGAACAGACAAATACACACACACACATACACACACACACTTTTTGAATGAGTGAATGACGTGCGGTACAGTGGATGAAAGGAAAAAACGATTAACCAACACCAAGTCCGTCTTCTATCCCTGTCTCTCCACTTGTGATTACGGCCTTTGAGAAAACACAAAAGCTTTGGGGGACAAAGAGCGGTTGTGATGCATTGTGGACATTATTGAAATAATAAATGCTGTCCAAAAATCAATTGTGATATGTAATTTATTTTATTATTTACATTCACACGAAACATTCATGTCAAAAACAAGCATTCAGAAGTCGGGCTTTAGCTGTTCTGACAAGTTCCATCAGTTTTCAGCATGTACAGATATGTAATTGATGATTAAATTAATCTCACATTTTATGCCAGTACCCACTTTTGACAGGAAATGTCAGTTGTGTAAATTGCTCTGTGGTGTGGTGTTAAAATGTGCTCCTCATTTCAGGTGCCACATCCGTGTGATTGACACCTTCGGGACAGAGCCGGCCTACAACCACGAGGACTACGCCACCCTGCACGGCTACAGGACCAACTGGGGCTACTGGAACCTCAACTCCAGACAGTACATGACTATGTTCCGTAAGTATACATCAATATGTATACAAATCTGTACCTATCCACCTGGCTATAATACACCCACAATACAAGCCAAAACACTCAGCATTGTAATGCTATGGATACCTTCAGAATCCACCTAGCTTTAGCACACCTGCTATAGAAATGGAACCACTTACCATTGTAATGCAGTACTTTAGCATACAGACAGCTTTTTGAATAGCCACACTTACACTACCTTTTTGAATTAGCATATTATAATCAGACCGAGGCACAGGTCATATCAATATCAGTGGCACCTCTTCACATTTCACTGAGGATATTGTTTAGCTCAAGTTCAAATGAGATGAGGGTCTATACCTGGGTTTTCTATCTCTTCTCTCCCTGCTGTATCTGTCTCACTCTTTTCCCCCCCTCACTCTGCCCTTCCCCTCACTCTGCCCTTCCCCTCCTCCCTCTCTCTCACCCTTCTCTCCTCCTCTCCTCAGCCCACACTCCAGACAACTCGTTCATGGGCTTTGTGTCTGAGGAGCTGAACAACACGGAGAAGAGGAGCATCATGCAGAACAAGGTCAACAACATGGCCGTGGTTTACGGCAAGGAGGCCAGCATGTGGAAAGTACGCATAACACACACACACAAACACACACACACACACACAGTCCGCTCACAGAGAGGCCTGGGTTCAAATAATATGTATTATTTCAAATACTTTAGCTGTACTTGATTTAGCTTGCCCGATGCAATGGGATAGTCCCAAAAGTGCAAACCCCGCCCACCTGGCGATCCAGGCAGGCTCAAGCAAATACTTAACGTACTTGAAAGATTTCCAATACTATTTGAACCCAGGTCTGCGTGCAGAGAGATAATTATCCCACTCGAATAGAAAGTTATAAGTAGTTGGGTAAAGTGCCGGGGGGGTCAAATCTTTTTAGATTTGAGTAGAATCATTAAAATTCCCTTCATGAATAAAGCATATCTGATCTTTAATCTAGAGATGTTTTATGTTGTCCAGCTCATACTTTAAATTGCACCCTTAACATCCATGTGCTCTTAGAATTAATAGTTAGGCATTTGTATTAAAATGGATTTGACGTTTAAAAAACATATAGATGAGCTGGTTAAGAAGCTAAGATTTAAAGTTGGCTTTTTCTACAGAAACAGATTTTGCCTTTCTCTAAGCAGTAGGAATCAGATTATTCAGTCAACCTTTTTATCTGTTCTTGAATACGGTGATATTATTTATCAAAGTGCAGCTGCTACTACTCTTAAACCTTTGGATGCCATCTACCATAGTGCCCTTTGTTTTGTTACAGGTGACAGTTTTGATACTCGTCACTGTATCCTGTATCAAAAGGTTGGCTGGACTTTGCTAAAGACCAGTAGATCTTACATTACTCCCTTTTTCTTTCCAAGGCCATACTTCATAAACTTTCGTCTTATCTAACTTTGCTGTGTGAAGTATAGACACCTGAGTTGCCTAATCCGTTCACAGGATTGGTTAACTCTTGAGGTTCCTAGGGTCTCCACCGAGCTAGCTAAATCTGCTTTTAGTTTTAATGCACTGTATTGCTGGAACAAAATTCTAAATACATTTCATCTTGATGTTCTGGTGCCGTTCGGGCAATTTAAAGTATTGGGGATTTATTTATGGAGGAATGCAACTGTTTTTCTAGGTGATTTGTGATGTTTTATTTGTGCTTAGCATGACTGTGTTTTTCTATTTTAATGTGTGTATATGCAATATACAGTGGGGAAAAAAAGTATTTAGTCAGCCACCAATTGTGCAAGTTCTCCCACTTAAAAAGATAAGAGAGGCCTGTAATTTTCATCATAGGTACACGTCAACTATGACAGACAAATTGAGGAAAAAAATTCCAGAAAATCACTTTGTAGGATTTTTTATGAATTTATTTGCAAATTATGGTGGAAAATAAGTATTTGGTCACCTACAAACAAGCAAGATTTCTGGCTCTCACAGACCTGTAACTTCTTCTTTAAGAGGCTTCTCTGTCCTCCACTCGTTACCTGTATTAATGGCACCTGTTTGAACTTGTTATCAGTATAAAGACACCTGTCCACAACCTCAAACAGTCACACTCCAAACTCCACTATGGCCAAGACCAAGAGCTGTCAAGGACACCAGAAACAAATGGTAGACCTGCACCAGGCTGGAAACTGATCTGCAATAGGTAAGCAGCTGGTTTGAAGAAATCAACTGTGGAGCATTATTAGGAAATGGAAGACATACAAGACCACTGATAATCTCCCTCGATCTGGGCTCCACGCAAGATCTCACCGTGGGTCAAAATGATCACAAGAACGGTGAGCAAAAATCCAGAACCACCGGGGGACCTAGTGAATGACCTGCAGAGAGCTGGGACCAAAGTAACAAAGCCTACCATCAGTAACACACTACGCCGCCAGTTCGGGGACACCAAGTTTAACACAGGTTCAAACAGGTGCCGTTAATACAGGTAACGAGTGGAGGACAGAGGAGCCTCTTAAAGAAGAAGTTACAGGTCTGTGAGAGCCAGAAATCTTGCTTGTTTGTAGGTGACCAAATACTTATTTTCCACCATAATTTGCAAATAAATTCATTAAAAATCCTACAATGTGATTTTCTGGATTTTTTTTTCTCAAATTGTCTGTCATAGTTGATGTGTACCTATGATGAAAATGACAGGCCTCTCTCATCTTTTTAAGTGGGAGAACTTGCACAATTGGTGGCTGACTAAATACTTTTTTTCCCCCACTGTACATCAACATGGATTATCACTCATTACTATTACAACACAATGGATGGTTGCAGAGACTATGATTAAAGGCACCATCTGTAAGATTTCCTAGTCTCAGATTGTTGATTCAGTATACCACAGTATTGGACACAAAAGTCAGCATTATACTATAGCGATTCAGGGGGAGGGGTGCGAGGGTTCGAGGCAAAGCACGACCCATGAAGCTGTCAGCAAACATTAGGTGTTTTGGGAAGAGGGCGTCAATTAGGACCTGAATAGAGCCATATGCTTTTTGGGGGCTCCAATGTTATTTGCTGTTGGAAAATGGCCTATTAAAAAGGTTAGTTCACTATTGTTGAATACCAAGTCCCATACTACTGATGGGAGAGTTAGGAGGGAGACGGGAGGGATCATTAGGCGGGATCGTTAGGAGGCCACAGTGATAGGAGAGTTAGGAGGGAGTTAGGAGGGATCGTTAGGAGGCCGCAGTGATGGGAGAGTTATGAGGGATTGTTAGGAGGCCACAGTGATGGGAGAGTTAGGAGGGATCGTTGGGAGGCCACAGTGATGGGAGAATTAGGAGGCCACAGTGATGGGAGAGTTAGGAGGGATTGTTAGGAGGCCACAGTGATGGGAGAGTTAGGAGGCTACAGTGATGGGAGAGTTAGGAGGCCACAGTGATGGGAGAGTTAGGAGGCCACAGTGATGGGAGAGTTAGGAGGCTACAGTGATGGGAGAGTTAGGAGGCCACAGTGATGGGAGAGTTAGGAGGCTACAGTGATGGGAGAGTTAGGAGGCCACAGGGATGGGAGAGTTAGAAGGCTGCAGTGATGGGAGAGTTAGGAGGCCACAGTGATGGGAGAGTTAGGAGGCCACGGTGATGGGAGAGTTAGGAGGCCGCAGTGATGGGAGAGTTATGAGGGATTGTTAGGAGGCCACAGTGATGGGAGAGTTAGGAGGGATCGTTGGGAGGCCACAGTGATGGGAGAGTTAGGAGGCCACAGTGATGGGAGAGTTAGGAGGGATTGTTAGGAGGCCACAGTGATGGGAGAGTTAGGAGGCTACAGTGATGGTAGAGTTAGGAGGCCACAGTGATGGGAGAATTAGGAGGCCACAGTGATGGGAGAGTTAGGAGGCCACAGTGATGGGAGAGTTAGGAGGCCACAGTGATGGGAGAGTTAGGAGGCTACAGTGATGGGAGAGTTAGGAGGCCACAGGGATGGGAGAGTTAGAAGGCTGCAGTGATGGGAGAGTTAGGAGGCCACAGTGATGGGAGAGTTAGGAGGCCACAGTGATGGGAGAGTTAGGAGGCTACAGTGATGGGAGAGTTAGGAGGCCACAGTGATGGGAGAGTTAGGAGGCCACAGTGATGGGAGAGTTAGGAGGCCACAGTGATGGGAGAGTTAGGAGGCTACAGTGATGGGAGAGTTAGGAGGCCACAGTGATGGGAGAGTTAGGAGGCTACAGTGATGGGAGACTTAGGAGGCTACAGTGATGGGAGAGTTAGGAGGCCACAGTGGGACACAGTCTGATTCCACCAATTATAGAGCCCTGGTCTTGACTATCTGACTGGCTCTGCTTTTCATAGCATGTCTTTGAGCTGACTGAGCACTTGACTTTACCCACCCTCTCTCACTCCATCCTCCACAGTACCACTTAGCATCGCTATCTATTCTGCACCACCAGTACAAATGATCACTCATTTGTTGCTGAGAATTTTCCAGCACAGAAGGAAATGTAAACATGTAATGTATTCAAGATTTAAAAAGGCTACTAAAGTTTGTCATTCCCATTTAAAATGTCAGACTTGATTTGCTCTGACGAAAAGTGTATCAACCCCTACAAAAAAATGTCCATTAATTATAATCCACATAATAATTCACATTTCCTGTTGTGGCAGGATTATTTTCCTGCTGTAGCAAACTGGCTCAATTTAAGATCCTACATCTCTACCTATCCACCTGGCTATAATACACCCACAATAAAAGCCAAAACACTCAGCATTGTAATGCTATGGATGCCTGCAGAATCCACCTAGCTTTAGCACACCTGCTATAGAAATGGAACGCTGGACTTTAGCATACAGACAGCTTTTTGAATAGCCACACTTACAATACCTTTTTGAATTAGCATATTAGATTCAGACCGAGGCACAGGTCATATCAATATCAGTAGCACCTCTTCACATTTCACTGAGGATATTGTTTAGCTCAAGTTCAAATGAGATGAGGGTCTATACCTGGGTTTTCTCTCTTCTCTCCCTGCTGTATTTGTCTCACTCTTTTCCCCCCCTCACTCTGCCCTTCCCCTCACTCTGCCCTTCCCCTCCTCCCTCTCTCTCACCCTTCTCTCCTCCTCTCCTCAGCCCACACTCCAGACAACTCGTTCATGGGCTTTGTGTCTGAGGAGCTGAACAACACAGAGAAGAGGAGCATCATGCAGAACAAGGTCAACAACATGGCCGTGGTTTACGGCAAGGAGGCCAGCATGTGGAAGGTACGCATAACACACACACACAAACACACACACACACACACAGTCGGCTCACAGAGAGATCTGGATTCAAATAATATGTATTATTTCAAATACTTTAGCTGTACTTGATTTAGCTTGCCCGATGCAACGGGATAGTCCCAAAAGTGCAAACCCGCCCACCTGGCGATCCAGGCAGGCTCAAGCAAACACTTAACGTACTTGAAAGATTTCCAATACTATTTGAACCTAGGTCTGCGTGCAGAAAGATAATTATCCCACTCACATAGAAAGTTATACGTAGTTGGGTAAAGTGCCGGGGGGTCAAATCTTTTTAGATTTCAGTAGAATTATTAAAATTACCTTCATGAATAAAGCATATCTGATCTTTAATCTAGAGATGCTTTATGTCATCCAGCCCATACTCTAAATTGCACCCTTAACATCCATGTGCTCTTAGAATTAATATTTAGGCATTTGTATTGATATGGATTTGACGTTTAAAAAACATATAGATGAGCTGGTTAAGAAGCTAAGATTTAAAGTTGGCTTTTTCTACAGAAACAGATTTTGCCTTTCTCTAAGCAGTAGGAAGTAGATTATTCAGTCAACCTTTTTATCTGTTCTTGAATATGGTGATATTATTTATCAAAGAGCAGCTGCTACTACTCTTAAACCTTTGGATGCCATCTACCATAGTGCCCTTTGTTTTGTTACAGGTGACAGTTTTGATACTCCTCACTGTATCCTGTATCAAAAGGTTGGCTGGACTTTGCTAAAAACCCGTAGATCTTACATTACTCCCTTTTTCTTTCCAAGGCCATACTTCATAAACTTTTGTCTTATCTAACTTTGCTGTGTGAAGTATAGACACCTGAGTTGCCTAATCCGTTCACAGGATTGGTTAACTCTTGAGGTTCCTAGGGTCTCCACCGAGCTAGGTAAATCTGCTTTTAGTTTTAATGCACTGTATTGCTGGAACAAAATTCTAAATACATTTCATCTTGATGTTCTGGTGCCGTTCGGGCAATTTAAAGTATTGGGGATTTATTTATGGAGGAATGCAACTGTTTTTATAGGTGATTTGTGATGTTTTATTTGTGCTTAGCATGACTTTTTTTTCTATTTTAATGTGTGTATATGCAATATATATACTGAACAAAAATATAAACGCAACATGTAAAGTGTTGGTCCTATGTTTTATTAGCTGAAATAAAAGATCCCAGAAATGTTCCATATGCACAAAAAGCTTATTTCTCTCACATTTTGTGCACAATTTTGTTTACATTTTACATTCACATTTTAGTCATTTAGCAGACGCTCTTTTTTTTCCCCCCGTGGGAATGGTTTACATCCCTATAAGTGAGCATTTCTCCTTTGCCAAGATAATCCATCCACCTGACAGGTGTGGCATATCAAGAAGCTGATTAAACAGCATGATCATTATACAGGTGCACCTTGTGCTGGCGACAATAAAAGGCCACTCTAAAATGTGCAGTTTTGTATCACAACACAATTCCACAGATGTCTCAAGTTTTGAGGGAGCATGCAATTGGCATGCTGACTGCAGGAATGTCCACCAGAGCTGTTGCCAGAGAATTGAATGTTCATTTCTCTACCATAAGCCGCCTCCAACGTTGTTTTAGAGAATTTGGCAGTATGTCCAACCGCCTCTCAACCCAGGACCTCCACATGCGGCTTCTTTACCTGCAGGATCGCATGAGACCAGCCACCTGGACAGCTGATGAAACTGAGGAGTATTTCTGATTGGCTGGGCCTGGCTCCCAAGTGGGTGCCCATTCATGTGAAATCCATAGATTAGGGCTTTATTTATTTATTTCAATTGACTGATTTCCTTATATGAACTGTAACTCAGTAAAATTGTTGAAATTGTTGCATGTTGCGTTTATATTTTTATTCAGAATAATATATATATATATATATATATTATATTATATTTTGTGTTTATATTGTATTATAAAGGGCACATTTGGAAAAGAGACCTAGGTCTCAATATGTCTTCCCTTTCAAAATAAAGGTTACATATTTTGGGGGGAATCAATTCACTTGGCAATTCAAGTCACACAGACCAGGCAATAGATAGATAGAGACACACAGACAGACTCAAGATGGATGAGAATCATACCCTGTTAAACCAGCCCATTTCCATTTGCTGCGGTCAAGAACAAGAGGTTAAATTCATATAAACTACTAGAGGAGTTACAATCTCATTCACATTCTCATCCACACTATGTTATCACACCCCTATAAACACACACACACTTCTAACTCCCCCGGTATTCACTACAGAGATGTAACCAATAGAACAGAGCTGTTAACTGCATAACAGATAAAACGATCGACATGCCATGTATCTACTATCTAGAGAGGATATTACATTTGGCACACATGTGGATACATTTGACAGAATCATACAGCTTTAATTCGCAGCCAATTTTCCCTTCAAAGGCAGACTGGTTGTTCACAGTGCATATTCGATGAGGGAGAGACTCAAACTGGATTTTGTTTCAAGCATTATGAAGACGTAGCTTAGCTGTAGCTTTTTTCCCTCTCTGCTTCTGTTTGCAAGCGGCAATTCCCATGGATTTTTATTCAATAGTTGAGTCTTGTATCGCGAGACGAGACAGAAGATGTTTTAGAAATTGTGTGTGAATATTGAGCAATTGCCGCTTTATAGGAACAGAAGGAGGAAAATGTAATACATGACAGATAGAGTTGAATATTTATTTTTTCTTTCTCTTGTCTTTCCTTAACTCAATCCCTATTCCCTTCCGTATTCTTCTCTCCTCTCTTCTTTGACACTTCTTCAACACTTCTCTTCTCTCCTATCCCCTCCTCTCTTCTTTGACACTTCTTCAACACTTCTCTTCTCTCCTATCCCCTCCTCTCTTCTTTGACACTTCTTCAACACTTCTCTTCTCTCCTATCCCCTCCTCTCTTCTTTGACACTTCTTCAACACTTCTCTTCTCTCCTATCCCCTCCTCTCTTCTTTGACACTTCTTCAACACTTCTCTTCTCTCCTATCCCCTCCTCTCTTCTTTGACACTTCTTCAACACTTCTCTTGTCTCCTATCCCCTCCTCTCTTCTTTGACACTTCTTCAACACTTCTCTTCTCTCCTATCCCCTCCTCTCTTCTTTGACACTTCTTCAACACTTATCTTCTCTCCTATCCCCTCCTCTCTTCCCCCCATGCGTCTCTCCATTGCATCTTGATGGATCATATATTCTACTACAGCTCCAGGTAAGACTCTTCTCAGTCGAACACACCAGCCCCGTTCCCTCTCTTTTAAACCTCCTTTCACACATTCAGTTCATCATTTCCTCCATGATCACATACCTACTAATACACAATATAGACTCTTGTGAATGTCAGTTTGACCTAGCATAAAGTTGCTATCAAAATGTCACTGTGGCTTCCTTTCCCTTTCCTTCTAGAAATGTTTTATTTAGAGATAATGGTAAATTGACAAGACATAAGTGGTTTGAATAGTCCACTGCTAATCTTAGCCTGCAGCTGTCTGTGATGAGAGAGAGAGAAAAAGATAGAGAGAGAGATAAATGAATTATTCGACTGGGAAGCTGTGTGGTGCCACAGATGTCTTTCTGAATATTGAATACTGGGCGAGAGACTAGGACATCTGGTCCAATCAAATATACTGAAGCGTACCCAGACTTAACATGTCCATTTTATGAAGTAGTGGTTCTATCTATCTCAACGCTCTCTAAACAGTTGTTTTTTGGGGGGTTGACTTCAGCTCTCTCTTTCTGTCACTTGAGACAATTTGTTGAACAAATCGATAGTTCTTGCTTGCACTATGTGGTATTGGGCTTAGTCGTATCATGGAGACATGAGTAGAGGAGAGGTGTGTGCTGGGTTTTTAAAGGATAGTACTAGTATTGATTTCTGAAATGTTAACCTCGGGAGTCGGGCCTGTAAGGCAGGCTAAAGCCATAAACAATATTGTCATGACTCCATCTTGTATTCCAATGGGCATAGGGGGGCTTCTTGTGCTTGTTGTCAAGGATACCGCTCCTTGTCTTGGCAACCAGCCTCCTCAAAATCAAGAGTGTTGGAGACGGAGAGATGGGGAGTGAGTTGAAGAGGTAGAAAGAGAGATGGTAACGGTTAGAGTGAAATTGAGAGAAGTATTTAGAGAGGAAGATAGTTATAGAAGTCTGCAGGTGCAGTGTGTTTTTTGGAGCCATTATGTTCATGCCTTCCCTCCCCCACACACACACACACTTGCCCATGCTGGCCTGTGTCAGTTCTCGCTTGCTGTGTGTGTGCATGTGGGCTACCTGCTGGCTCTATGTACACACTGCAGTGTGATGATGAGATTCCAAGGGCTTTTTCCTGGTAAACCCACAGGGGAGATGCTCATACCTGTATGTCACAGGGCTCGTGTTAATGGCTTGAGCAGAATTAGTGGAATGGTATCAAACACATATTTTCTATGTGTTTGATGCCATTCCATTCGCTCCGTTGCAGCCATTATTATGAGCCGTCAAACAAACTCAAACCCACCACACAAAGTTCAGGTTGACTTCTATTGTATAAATCAACCTTTCATCGTCCCTGAGTCCCGGCCGTTTCTCACACTCTCGTAACCCAACCTTGCTCTATTTGAACTGATTCCTTAGAATAGAGTCCAGGTTAGATAATTAGCATTACTAACATGGCTCGGGTCTGGCCCAGTCAAGCCAGGTCAAGGGTTAGCTAGCCTGAGCTAAGGCTGGGTTACATCTGTGTGTGTGTTGTTCTCTCTCTGTTTCATTGGCTCTAATTCATAGTGTCTGGTGCACTCAGAGCGTTGGCTAATCTCCTAATTGGCTGGGAAAATCCTCAGAGGAAACCATCGATCGCAGCAGGCTAACAATTACAGTACAGCCTACATGGGGAGCACACAATAGAACAGGGATACAATAAGCTTCTTAACATCCAGGAAGCAGGAAGTCAATAAGGAGACCTGGGCTGTGGTTGGTTCACATTGGGGGAGGGCTTGTTTTGTTTTTCAGATGTGGAGGGTAGCTATGAGGCTAGCTATGAGGCTAGCTATGAGGCTAGCAATGAAAGGGTGCCCATGCTTACACACACACAGGCAAAGCGCGTGGATGAACACACACACATATACACACACAAGCGCGCTCACACACACTCTCACACATCTCCCACCTCAAAATGCATCCCCTTTATTATCAACATCTTTGCACTTCTCACACCCACACAAACAACACAAAGCCTCCATATCCACTTAAGATGCACTTTGTGTTGAAAGGTTGTGCCTCTCAGAAGAAAGATGTACTGTTGCTCGGGCACATGAATGCACTGTATAGAATCAGGCAGAAAGCACATCTGTTATTGTGTGTTGATGTGGTTTGCTTGTATGCCTCAATAGATATGCGTACTCCCTATTTATAATCTATTAATTTCAATGTATGGGCATAATCTATCCATTTCAATGTATGGGCATAATCTATCCATTTCAATGTATGGGCATTATCTATCCATTTCAATGTATGGGCATAATCTATCAATTTCAATATATGGGCATAATCTACTAATTTCAATGTATGGGCATAATCTATTAATTTCAATGTATGGGCATAATCTATCCATTTCAATGTATGGGCATAATCTATTCATTTCAATGTATGGGCATAATCTATTCATTTCAATGTATGGGCATAATCTATTCATTTCAATGTATGGGCATAATCTATTAATTTCAATGTATGGGCATAATCTATTAATTTCAATGTATGGGCATAATCTATTCATTTCAATGTATGGGCATAATCTATTAATTTCAATGTATGGGCAGGCTTGCTGTTTTACAAAATCTATACTCCTAAGGCCCCATTACTGCATGATGGAACGGTGGGGACTGTGAGAACACACACACAGACTCACACAGACACACTCTAACACACACATTCGTGCTGTTATTATTATTTATTTTGTATTGTTGTATTTTAAATGTGTGTGACTGTCCTTGTCTATCAGTGTATCAGTGTATCAGTGTCATGTTTTATGTGGACCCCAGGAAGAGTAGCTGATGCTTCGGCAAAAGCTAATGGGCATCCGACTAAACCACTGAATAAACCAATCAGATAGGTAGAAGTGTGAGAGCTCCATAGATGGGTCAGAGACAGGGATGTCATATCAGCCAGTAAGGAGATGAGTGGAACTGGGTGGTGCTGGCTGGCTAATGCTGTGCTCTGCTTCTGCTGCCCTCTGGGTGCCTGGAGTGGCACTGGCAGTCTGCCAGCATCTTTGCCCTGCATCCTTACATGGATGACTCGCTCCTCGCTCTCTGGCACTGGGAAGAGATGCTAGAGGCCAAATGTGTGTAATGAGAAAGAGAGGGATGGAGAGAGAGGGTGTTTGTGTGCGTACACGTACACATGACTGTGTGGCGTGTGTGTGTGTTTGTATGGTTGTGTGCATCCTTGTGTGTGCATGCGTGCCTGCGCTCGCACGTGTGTGCGTGTGCGCACGTGCGTGTGTGTAGGAAGCCCTGCCAGATCCCTAGCACCTCACCTCATTCATATTGATGGCTCACGGCAGTGTGACACTGTGTGTCTCTTTTGGTTTCCTAAAGGGGCCTGTCACATTAAACTTCCCGTGCTCACTAACAGGCCATGGCTCTGCCTCGCTCTGTGTGAAGATGCTGACGTTCACACAGCACACACACACACTCAGTGAATGCACAACCTCTCATACACACACACACAAACACTCATACTGTATTATCACGCGGACACACACACTCATTGGCACATGTGTATACTCATAAACACACACACAGCCATTAACACAACGCTAATCATCATCCTCTGTCCCTCCTATCTCCATCTTCTCATTCCCCCTCATCTCAGCGGTCCAATCTCCCTCTCCTTCCCTCTCACTCTTCCTCCTACTCTCTCCCATCTCCACTCTTCTATCCCTTATCCCTCACTTCTCCTCCTCTCCCTCATCTCCCCTCATCCCCACTCACTTTCCTACTTGCACTTCTTCCCTTTCCTTCTCTCTCTCTCTCTTCCCTTCTCCCTGTCTATCAGCAGGGTAAGGAGGGTTTCCTCCAGATCCTCCACAGGTACATGGAGGTCCACGGGACAGTGTACTACGAGACCCAGCGGCCCCCCGAGGTGCCTGCCTACGTCAAGAACCACGGCCTGCTGCCCCAACACGAGCTGCAGATGCTGCTCCGCAAGGCCAAGGTGCTGGAACACACACACGCTCTAGATGATACACAACATACACAATAGGTAACACAATACAGATGTAGGATCTTAATTTGATCACCCAGTTGCAGGAGAACCGTCCTGCAATAAAGGAAATGTAAGTGTATTTGAGGTTTAAAAAGGCTTCTGAAGTTTGTAATTTCCACTTTGAAATTTCAGACTTGATTTTCCCTTACGATATATGTATCAACCCCTACAAAAATGTCCATTAATTATAATCCACATAATAATTCACATTTTCTGTTGCTGCAGGATTATTTTCCTGCTGTAGCAAATTGGCTCAAATTAAGATCCTACATCTGTACTTCCGCAAACACATGCAGGCACCATGCACACACACACTAGGTCCACACACAGTACTGTTGCACCAGCACTAACTACAACAGCATCTACACAAGGCCAACACACAGTTACCTTCCAGTCCCTGCTGTATCTGTAAATGGCAGGATTTTCAATTGACAAGCATTAATAAAATAGCTGGTGGTTATCCTAACTAGTATCATCTTCGTCTCCCCCTAACAGCTCTTCATCGGGTTTGGTTTCCCCTACGAAGGGCCCGCCCCTCTGGAGGCCATAGCCAATGGGTGCATCTACCTGCAGCCCAAGTTCCACCCACCCCACAGCTCGCTCAATCACGAGTTCTTTAGAGGCAAGCCCACGTCTAGAGAGGTGAGCTCCCGTTGGTCAACACCGTATCTAGTACCACTCTTCAATTGAAAATTAACCAATGAAATTCAACAAACTACATTCCAGATTGTACACCAAATGTGCCACTTGTACATCACAGAATATTGCTTTAAACTGGAATGTTCTACTAATTCTAATTCTATACTCCATCCCTCTCAGGTGTCGTCCCAGCACCCGTATGCAGAGCAGTACATCGGGCGGCCCCACGTCATGACAGTAGACTACAACAACTCCCAGGAGTTTGACACCGCCATCAGAGAGATCATGAATACCAAGGTACAGTTATATACATTTAGTTATGTCTTTCTTGACTCATTGGTTTCCTTGGCAATGAAGAAACACACTATGTTGCATCTGGGAAGGATTATACAACCATATAACATATAACAGCGCTGATACTGAATGGGTACAGCTCGCTCCATCCAGTAAATACTGTGCACTTCAAATGCACCTCTGAAAGCTCCCTATGGAGAAGCACTAGCTGCAATGATTTAACCTAGGACTTAGTGGTGTATTCAATGCTAGCCTTAGGAAGCAGTGTGTGCACAGCCAAGGAGTAATTAGCAGTAAATGTGGCTTAATGGAAACCTGCAGTCAGCTTGAGGCTGCAGGGAGTGTGAGAGGTTGAGAGAAGTTGAGTAAGATGTCAAACAGGCCGATTGAAATGCCTCTATAAAGCTGTGTTGTTTGTGTGTGTGTGTGTGTGTGTGGTGTGTGTGTGTGTGTGCGTGCATGTGTGTCTGTGTCTGTGTCTCTGAATGTGCATGTCTGTGTGTGTATAGCTGTGTGTCTCTAAATGTGTGTGTGTTCTCCCCTCTCCACTCTCCTGCTGTCTGCTGTGTCTTGTCAGACATGCCATAGCTCAGTGCCCCGGCGCTTACTCTCTGTCTGCCCTGTCTGTCTGTCACTCCACTGAAAGATGGCTGCCCTGTCTGTCTGTCACTTCCCTGAGACATGTCTGCACTGTCTGTCTGTCTGTCTGTCTGTCTGTCTGTCTGTCTGTCTGTCTGTCTGTCTGTCTGTCTGTCTGTCTGTCTGTCTGTCTGTCTGTCTGTCTGTCTGTCTGTCTGTCTGTCTGTCTGTCTGTCTGTCTGTCTGTCTGTCTGTCTGTCTGTCTGTCTGTCTGTCACTCCCCTGAGAGATGTCTGCACTGTCTGTCTGTCTGTCTGTCTGTCTGTCTGTCTGTCTGTCTGTCTGTCTGTCTGTCTGTCTGTCTGTCTGTATGTCACTCCACTAAAAGTTGGCTGCCCTGTCTGTCTGTCTGACCGTCACTCCAGTGATAGATGGCTGATGGGCCACTTCACCCCTGTGTGTCTGTGGGCTGGCTCTCTGTCCAGGGCGGCTCCACATGCTCAGCCATGCAGACCAAAGCAATCTCTACCGGCTGACACCTCTTCATGTTCATATAAATCCCTCTCCATCTATCTTTCTATTTCTCTCTCTTGTTCTGTCTCTCTCTTTCTTTCACTCTCCCTCTCTCTCGCTCTCTGCTCTCTTTCCCTCTCTCTCTGTCTGTCTTTCTATTTCTCTCTCTCGTTCTCTCTTAACGTGACCTGTTGTCTTCATATTTATCCCTCTGTAATAAATGGGAGGCAGGGAGGGTGAGACTGTGCCTCTCTCTGCTTAGACCAAAGCAAATATTTTGAGGCATATTTATGTGCTAGTTTATATAAATGATTCAGAAAGTGTTATGTTTTGTGATGTGTAACCTTTTCGTATATCCTCTCTCTACATATTTGCTTTTCTTTATTTGAAATTGGAAAAGTCTGATTTCACATGCAGTTAAACATTTTCCGGCTATGATTTTGTATTTAAAAAATGATTTACTGAGTGATGTATCATTTACAAGTGAGATTTAGAACATTAGATATGTGATCTACTCTTAAAGCTGGAGGGAATCCATAATTAATATGAAGTCTGTACGTTCAGGCTCCATGTATTCCTAATGGAAAAGTTTAACATAACCATTTGTGTTTAATCTTGAAATATGACATTGTTACATTATCAGAGACACTTGGTTCGAAAGGGAACCAAGTGTCATACTGTAAGTCAGAATGTATTCAGTCACTCATGCTAAAAAGAAAACACACAATTCTGGTATTATAAGCAAAATACTTCAACCAACTGAGCCGTTGAATCCACATTGTTACAGGGTCCTAATTAATTACAATGGGGGACTATAATCTAAGACAATCTGTTTCCGTTTTCAGATCATTTTTGTCATTTCCATTTCCATGTAGATCAGGAAGTAAATGTCCAGTTAGTTTATTGAATTTAGTTTCATTTACAGTTTCCAGTCTGTATGTGGGTGTGTTTTGCCTGTGTTTTATTTTGATGAATTACAGCAATATAGCTATTCTCTAATCAGACAAATCAAAGGTGAGCCTTTTGTTGCATATTGAACAGCTATGCAAATTAAATCAAAGCCTGAGTGCATCCCAAATTACATCCTATTCCCTACATGCCTCCAGAAGGACCCATAGGGCTCTGGTCAAAAGCAGTGCACTATGTAGGGAATAGGCTGCCAATTTACTTACACACAAGTCACACACTGCAATTAAGCCAAACCCACTTCAAAATGGCCACGGTTGCGTCCCAAATGGCACCCTATTCTCTATACAGTATAGTGCACTACTTTTAACAGAGCTCTATAGGCCCTGGTCAAAAGTAGTGCACTATGTAGGGAGTTACGTGCCATTTGTGACGCAACTCACGTTTATTTGTTGTGATTAATGGGTAGATTTGGCTTTTTATTGCAATTAGGATGAACGATGGGGAAACAGGCAAAACAATATTTAAATGAGGAAAATATGGTAATTTAGTGTTTTTATGCTGATTGCCTAGCAACGCATTCTGAGGAAATGTTCTGATCTGTGGGAATTTGTGTGTATGTGTCTTTGCAGGTCGAGCCATACCTACCGTATGAGTACACTTGCGAGGGAATGCTGGAGAGGGTACACGCCTACATACAGCATCAGGTAGATTCAAATGGCACACACATGCACATCAGTGGGGAAACAGTATTGATACACTGCAGATTTGAGGTTTCCACAAGCTGTAGAGGTCATGTTTACAGGTAACTCAATCAGACAAAAAAAACAGAAATACATTTTGATTTATATTATTTGTGTATGCATGCTAGTATTGTCCCTACACCAGTAAGAATTCTGGCTCTCACAGACCTGTTAGTTTTTCTTTAAGAAGCCCTCCTGTTCTCCACTCATTACCTGTATTAACTGCACCTGTTTGAACTCGTTACCTGTATAAAAGACATCTGTCCACACACTCAATCAAACAGACTCCAACCTCTCCACAATGGCCAAGACCAGAGAGCTGTGTAAGGACATCAGGGATAAAATTGTAGACCTGCACAAGGCTGGGATGGGCTACAGAACAATAGGCAAGCAGCTTGGTGAGAAGGCAACAACTGTTGGCGCAATTATTAGAAAATGGAAGAAGTTCAAGATGACGGTCAATCACCCTCAGTCTGGGGCTCCATGCAAGATCTCCCCTTGTGGGGCATCAATGATCATGAGGAAGGTGAGGGATCAGCCCAGAACTACACGGCAGGACCTGGTCAATGAGCTGAAGAGAGCTGGGACCACAGTCTCAAAGAAAACCATTAGTAACACACTACGCCGTCATGGATTAAAATCCTGCAGCGCACGCAAGGTCCCCCTGCTCAAGCCAGCGCATGTCCAGGCCCGTCTGAAGTTTGCCAATGACCATCTGGATGATCCAGAGGAGGAATGGGAGAAGGTCATGTGGTCTGATGAGACAAAAATAGAGCTTTTTGGTCTAAACTCCACTCGCCGTGTTTGGAGGAAGAAGAAGGATGAGTACAACCCCAAGAACACCATCCCAACCGTGAAGCATGGAGGTGAAAACATCATTCTTTGGGGATGCTTTTCTGCAAAGGGGACAGGACGGCTGCACCGTATTGAGGGGAGGATGGATTGGGCCATGTATCGCAAGATCTTGGCCAACAACTTCCTTCCCTCAGTAAGAGCATTGAAGATGGGTCGTGGCTGGGTCTTCCAGCATGACAACGACCCGAAACACACAGCCAGGGCAACTAAGGAGTGGCTCCGTAAGAAGCATCTCAAGGTCCTGGAGTGGCCTAGCCAGTCTCCAGACCTGAACCCAATAGAAAATCTTTGGAGGGAGCTGAAAGTCCATATTGCCCAGCGACAGCCCCAAAACCTGAAGGATCTGGAGAAGGTTTGTATGGAGGAGTGGGCCAAAATCCCTGCTGCAGTGTGTGCAAACCTGGTCAAGACCTACAGGAAACATATGATCTCTGTAATTGCAAACAAAGGTTTCTGTACCAAATATTAAGTTCTGCTTTTCTGATGTATCAAATACTTATGTCATGCAATAAAATGCAAATTAATTACTTAAAAATCATACAATGTGATTTTCTGGATTTTTGTTTTAGATTCCGTCTCTCACAGTTGAAGTGTACCTATGATAAAAAGTACAGACCTCTACATGCTTTGTAAGTAGGAAAACCTGCAAAATCGGCAGTGTATCAAATACTTGTTCTCCCCACTGTACATGCAGGCACTCAACCGTGTCTGTTTTTCCCAAAACATATTATCATAAGGTCTTCCTCCCATGCTACCTTCCTACCACACACTCACTCACTCACTCACTCACTCACCTCCTACCACTCACCTCCTACCACTCACCTCAACCTGGAGAGGTAACTAGACCAGGGTTTCCCAAACCCGGTCCTGGACCCCCCACCCACATTTTGTTTTCGCCCTAGCACTACACAGCTGATTCAAATAATCAAAGCATGATGATGAGTTCGTCATTTGAATCAGCTGTGAAGTGCTAGGGCAAATCCCAAAACGTGTACCCGGGGGTTTAGGAAACCCTGGACTAGTAGACACCACTCCAGCCTTAGGATGGATGGAAGGATGAGGGGACGGGGGATGGATGAGAGGACTTGAGGAGAGAGGAATGGGGCACCCGGATCAATCATTCAGAATAATCCCCAAACTCAACTCAATTGTTGATCTGTGATCTAGACTGGCTGTTACAGAATCACTGACACATCTCCACACATCTCAGACCTTGGAAACCACTGCTACCTCCATCTCCTATTGGGTGGCAGACAGAGACTGAACTGAATTGTCACTATCAGACTGAACTGATATTTCTGCTCTAATCTGTTTAATGTGTCTGAACAATGCTATCAGAACTGCTATTAAAATGGTCTGGCTGACTTGATAGACCGATATGTCAAATCGGTTCTCTTTCATGTTTAAAACGAGTTATCTCTCTGGTGCTGTTGGACCCAGATGAGTTTTGTCAGGGAATAGGTAAAGGATTGATGGGAGATTATTTAGAGTGATGTGCAGTATAGGGGAGGTTAGAGAAACGGCTGTTTATTTGTATTTGTGTCACACGATGCCCTGAAGTGTTTGGAAATGTAGATTTATTTACAGCTAAAGGCAAAAGTGTCAGCGGGCTTTGATTAATGTTGGCTTTCATGTGTGTATAGTGCAGTGGAGGCTGCTGAGGGGAGGACGGCACATAATAATGGCTGGAACGGAGCAAATGGAATGGCATCGGACACATGACAACCATGTATTTGATACCATTCCACCCATTCAGCTCCAGCTATTACCACGAGCCTGTCCTCCCCAATTAAGGTGCCACCAACCTCCTGTGGTATAGTGTGGAAGTGACCATGTGTGCATGTGGGTGTGCGTATCTACTTGGTGTCTGTGTGTGCGTTTGCACTGTCAAAAAGAATACCACATGCTGTATAATGTAATCTCGGCACCCAGAAACAAATAGGCACTACCTATGTGTTGTGTTGTTCAACATCCCCTTCCCCTCTCTCTCCTCTCCCTCCATCCCTCCAGGACTTCTGCACCCCCGAGGCCCCCTTCCCTCCGGCCAACTCCTCCTCCTCCAAGCTGGGGTCTAGTAGTCCGGCTAGCCCTGGGCCTCAATTTGTCCTGCTGCCCAACTCCAGTGCCCTAACCTGGGCCCCCAACACCAGCGCCCCCACTGCCTGGCCCCCTCTCAGCTCCCTGAGGCTGCTGGCATCCCAGGAGGGCAAGTCATGTGTGGAGGCGTGCCAGCGTGCCAACCTGGTGTGTGAGCCCGCGCTGTTCCGCTTCGTCAATAATAAGGAGGCCCTCCGTGGGTGAGTGGCACCTTGGCACACATGAAGCCGTGCTCATGCACACACACACACACACACATTGGACATATGTTTCAAACAGCTAGACACACATATACACACATTCGAAACACACAATCACTACATGTCACTAACAATCATACAAACACGTACAATGCTCTCTGTTCTCTCAAATGGTACCATATGGTGGTTAGTTCCCTAAGGGATGTCTGTGGTTGTAATAATCAAACAGCTATAGCAAGGATGTCAGGTTCAAAGTCTTCTCAGTGATGTAAGGTGTCTTGTCGGTGAGATCTATAGTGACAGCAGAAGCTGATAAGAGTGTCATAGCAATGCCAACTCATCTTACTGTCTTCCTCCTCTTTTATCGTTCCCTTTCTCCTTGAATTTCTCTTCATCACCCCTCCTGCTCGACATATAACTGTTTTACTTCATGCCTGTCTCTCTGTGTCTCTCTCTGTGTGTGTCTCTCTGTGTCTCTCTCTGTGTGTGTCTCTCTCTGTGTGTCTCTCTGCGTGTGTGTCTCTCTCTGAGTCTCTCTCTGTGTCCTCTGTGTGTCTCTCTGTCTCTTGTGTGTGTCTCTCTCTTGTGTCTCTCTCTGTGTTCTCTCTGGTCTCTCTGTGTTCTCTCTTGTGTCTCTCTGTCTCTCTCTGTGTCTCTCTCTGTGTGTGTCTCTCTCTGTGGTCTCTCTCTGTGTTCTCTCCTCCTGTGTTCTCTCTCTGTGTGTGTCTCTCTCTGTGTGTGTCTCTCTTGTGTGTCTCTTCTGTGTCTCTCTTCTGTGTCTCTCTCTGTTCTCTCTTTGTGTCTCTCTCTGTTTCTGTCCTCTCTGGGTTGTCTCTCTCTGTGTCTCTCTCTGTGTCTCTCTCTGTGTGTCTCTCTCTGTGTCTCTCTCTCTCTCTCTCTCTGCTCGTCCTCTCTTGTCTCTCTCTCTTCTCTCTCTCTCTCTCTGTGTCTCTCTCTCTTGTCTCTCTCTCTCTCTTCTCTCTCCTCCTCTCCTGCTCCTGTGTCTCTCGGTCTCTCTCTCTCTTGCTCTCCTCCTTCTCTCTTCTCTCTCTTCTCTCTCTCCTTTTTCTCCCTTGTCTCCTCCTGGTTTCTCCTCCTCTGCTTCCCTCTTTTTCCTCCCTTCCCCTCTACCACTCTCTCCTTCTACTCTTTCTCTCTGTATTGCTCATATGATATCAACCTCTATGCATCACCCCATCTCCCTCCCTCCATCAAACAGGTTAGAGGTGCAGTGTGAGGTGGTGGAGGCGGAGGTCAACCACGTGTTCCCGGCCTTCTCCGTCCTACGCCGGGAGTGCGGCCTCCAGAAGGACCCCCTCCTCTACAGCTGCGCCGGCCACAGCCCCAAGTACCGCCGCCTCTGCCCCTGCCGGGACTACCGCCGCGGCCAGGTTGCTCTCTGCCGAGACTGCTTATGAGGAGGGACCCAGAGTTTTTACAATGAACGCCTGACCTGGCTAGGTGGCTAGGAAAAACTCCAGGCCCTCTAGTTATAGCCTATGAACTGTAGACTATAAACTATGGACTATGAGCTTAACCGGCCCTGGTTATGATGCCCCCCCCCCCCCCCTCCCAAGAGAGATATGCTGGACTATACTGCAACGAGTGTAACCATTCACCATGTGCCCACAGGAAAACACAGTAATCCACAATAGGGAAACGGCTATATCGCCATCTAGCTAGCTACCTAACTAATACCTAGAGGAGACCCACTGACCGGAAGATCATTGATTTGCTGCTACAATATAAATAATTTGACTTTAACCCTCCAAGACCAGGGAGTCAAGAGAGTTATCGACCCGGGGGAGAAGTCCTAGAAAACGTGACCTTTGAGTGGAATGCCAACTTCGGGTCAATAACCAATCTCCTCTCCCCTTATCTCTTTGGCGTTGCACTTTGACAATGGATGATGGACACTCAGACACTCTCCCTAGACTCTCTCCTCCTTCTAAAGATGAACTGATTATTTTGTGCGACTAAGATAACCCTGACTACCAACAGAGTCAATGCAATCATCTCTGTTGCGCTAAAATGGACTAAAAAAGATTAAAGATTATTTTTTAATAAAGCGACCGTTTTGAGCTCTGCTACTGTGAGAACAGAGGATTTTTAAGAACCTTTCGGCTGTTTTGTGATGAAAATAAAAAAATAAAAATGGAAAGTTAAAAAGAGATCAAAGCATCGCTGTCGTTTTGTTGTCGGTCTTGTCATGACTCATAAATGTATTTTCTTTTCTTTCTGGATTAATGGTTTCTTTCATCTCTGGCTGCTCATTTTTCATTTCCCTCCTGTCTTCCCCTGCCCATCCATCCATGAGAGATGAGAGATATGAGAGATGTTTGATCTTCCACTCCTCCAGAGCCAGAAGCAAGGGATGAGACTGTCGATATGTTGCGTTGGAGGGGGGAGGAAATCAGATATCCGTTCTGCTTTCTGGATTTCCAGATGAGACATGCACTTCTGAGGCCAGCGTTCACAACACTGGATCTTACCTTGGGAAGTGAGTGGGTGATCCAACATAACCCTTAATGTACCAGTCCAATGCTCATAGTAGGAAAGTAGCTGGCCTTTACTAAGAAACAGAATATGCAACATAGATACAATTATACTTTTCAAGTCTTGGGGCTAATTGTTTTTACACCAAGTAGGAATCCTTTGGGAGAGTGCAATAGTTTTCCTCTGATACGTCTATGAGGTGGACGTCTATGGTAGTGACGATAGTGGTCCATAACTGTGGATGTCTATGGTATTGGATGTACTGCTAGATGTACTGTGTGTAGTAGTGGGTGTAATCTTCATAGTGAATATTGATTGTTGTGTACAGTACATCTATTGAAGCATTGGCTTGAAGCATTAGTTAACAGCTCAGTTTCTGCTCCTGGTCAGTATCCCAGTGAATGAAGTAGAATATAATGAATAATATACATCATAAGAGTGAAGACCATGCAGAATTCCCCATTGGCCTGAAAGGGAATAAGATAGCATTATTTAAAGCTCTCAGTGTTTTCAATTTCATATAACCCATAGGCCAATGAATAATTGTTATCCAGGCGTTCATCTCTTGGAGCTCGATATATACAAGAATAATAACAAAATCAATTATCTGTACTTTGGGGAAAGATAGGTATTTGAATTAAATCCCACTGTTCCAAGGGGTCATAACACCATTGCTCAACAGACAGAACTGTTATAATGTAATTTTATTAGCATTACTTGTGATTAAGTCATTATATAATTAGTACAGTGATTTATTCCCCCGACAACGAAAGGTTAATTAAATATTTTGTCTCTGTGTGTGTGTGTGTGTGTGTGCATAAATGAATGTGTGTGTGTGTAAGGACTGTGTGTGAGTGGATTAGTTTGGGAGGTACACACACACACTTCTGAGCGTGACGTGAGTCCCTGAAACAGGATGGGCCAGAGAGATTTATCACGATCGTTATTTATTCATCTGAGAAAATAAACACACGTTCACTCTTTCTTTTTCTCTCTATCCCCGTCTCTTTCTCTCCCTCCATCTCATAGGGTGACTTTCAAAGTTTATACAGTGGGGTCATCTGCTCTAATTGGACTGAGTTGCTGATAGTTTCCTCAAGGTTCCTCAAAATTGCCAAAGAGAGACTGTTCTGAAACAAGGATGCCCGTTCACCATGTGGTCCTGCTACTCCAGCAGGAAGTCAGAGCAGACAAGGTCAAGATGATATCACACTTGAATGTTTGCTACCTAACTCTTAGCTAGTGGAAATAACCCACCGGAAGATAATTCATATCTAAACAATTTGACTTTAACCCACCAAGACCAGGGAGTTAATAGAGAAATCGACCTGGGGGAGATAACAGGTGACACTTCATGTGTCAAACTCCTAGAAAACATGACCTTTGAGTGGAATGCCACCTTTGGGTCAATCACCTTCTCCTGTCACCGCCTCTCTTCGGCGTTGTGCTTTGACAATGGATGATGGACACTCAGACCTTCTCCCTAGACTCTCTCCTCCTTTCAAAGTTTATACAGTGGGGTCATCTCTTCAGACAGAGCCTGCATCCCAAATGGCACCCTATTCTCTATATAGTGCACTACTTTTGACAAAAGACCTATGGGCCCTGGTCAAAAGTAGTACACTAAATAAGGAATAGTGTGCCATTTAGGACTCAGCCAGGGGGATTTTCAGCAGCCATATTTCATATTTTTAATAGGCCCTATCAAAAAGCTATGCAGGCAAACAGTACTCATCAAGGACACTGTGTGTGTGTGTGTGTGTGTGTGTGTGTGCGATCACGCATGTGTGTGTGCCCTTGAGCAAAGAAGATATGCCACAGTGTGTGAACATTAAAAGTTATCTTACTAAGATGCCCGGTGGCAACTTTAAACACTCCATTTGTAGCTCATCAGAGATTTGAGATTGTAGTCCATTTTCAACAAAGGCAATACCATCCACATAATCCCATAGCAACAATACCATAGCACCAATGTCATGCCTGTAAGCTAGTAAAGGAAAAACACACACACCATAGAATACTTCAGGCCTCAAATATGAGAGTTAGCTACCTTGAAAGTGATAGAGAGAAACTTTCTAGGGTGACTTCCTCAATGGGGTGTGACACATCTCTAGATGGAGATATTCATCACATCAAAGCTTTAGACGGTGAGATAATTCTTATCTATGGAAGCAGGGCTATGGTGAGTTACAACAGCGCCTTAGCATTCACAATGGATTGTGACTTCGCCAAGGAACATTACAGTAGCTTTATCCACACTGGATGGCGTGTCTTCATTTCGGAAGTGACCAGAATAGGAAATGAGGAGAAAGAACTAAACCAGACTGAAATACTCAAACAGCTAAACTTGATCACTAATAATCTAGTGAGATAGGGAACCTGGATAACCTTGATAACCTTTTGAGTTGGCTGATGTTGGCTGAATGTTGGATACTACTGGTGTCTATAGGTATACTCTACTACTGGTGTCTATAGGTATACTCTACTACTGGTGCCTATAGATATACTCTACTACTGGTGCCTATAGATATACTCTACTACTGGTGCCTATAGATATACTCTACTACTGATGTCTATATATATACTCTACTACTGGTGTCTATAGATATACTCTACTACTGGTGCCTATAGATATACTCTACTACTGGTGCCTATAGATATACTCTACTACTGGTGCCTATAGATATACTCTACTACTGATGTCTATATATATACTCTACTACTGGTGTCTATAGATATACTCTACTACTGGTGTCTATAGATATACTCTACTACTGCTGTCTATAGATATACTCTACTACTGATGTCTATAGATATACTCTACTACTGGTGTCTATAGATATACTCTACTACTGATGTCTATAGATATACTCTACTACTGGTGTCTATAGATATACTCTACTACTGGTGCCTATAGATATACTCTACTACTGGTGCCTATAGATATACTCTACTACTGGTGTCTATAGATATACTCTACTACTGGTGTCTATAGATATACTCTACTACTGGTGCCTATAGATATACTCTACTACTGGTGCCTATAGATATACTCTACTACTGGTGCCTATAGATATACTCTACTACTGATGTCTAGATATACTCTACTGCTGGTGTCTATAGATATACTCTACTACTGGTGTCTATAGATTTACTCTACTACTGGTGTCTATGTATATATTCTAATGCTGGTGTCTATAGATATACTCTACTACTGGTGTCTATGTATATATTCTAATGCTGGTATATCTATAGACACCAGTAGTAGAGTATATCTATAGACACCAGCATTAGAATATATACATAGACACCAGTAGTAGAGTATATCTATAGACACCAGCATTAGAATATATACATAGACACCAGTAGTAGAGTAAATCTATACAGTGCACTCGTAAAGTATTCAGACCCCTTTACTTTTTCCACATTTTGTTACATTACAGCCTTATTCTAAAATTGATTAAATAAGTAAAAATGGCACACACCTGTCTATATAAGGTCCCACAGTTGACAGCACATGTCAGAGCTAAAACTAAGCCATGAGGTCGAAGGAATTGTCTGTAGAACTCTGAGACAGGATTGTGTCGAGGCACAGATCTGGGGAAGGATGGTGACAGGTGTGCGTAATGATAGGCAGCCTGGTGCCCTCGAGCACCAGGGAGGGGGAGCGGGAGCAGGCGTGACAACTACTCAGTAAAAGGCACATGACAGCCCGCTTGGAGTTTGCCAAAAGGCACCTAAAGACTCTCAGACCATGAGAAACAAGATTCTCTGGTCTGATGAAACCGAGATTGAACTTTTTGGCCTGAATGCCAAGCGTCACGTCTGTAGGAAACCTGGCACCATCCCTACGGTGAAGCATGGTGGTGGCAGCATCATGCAGTGGGGATGTTTTTCAGCGGCAGGGACTGGGAGACTAGTC